GTGAAGTAACACACAAGATCCTAAACTAAAGTAATGACTCGTGCTTGGTCATTGTCATTCGTTTTCAGAGCCTCCCGTTTATCTCTTCTGTACTCAGCATTGAATTATTATGCATTAAGAGAGGAGATCCAAAATTTATTCCTTCATTCAACAAATACTTTTTGAGTGCCTACTGTGTGCTAAGCATTTCTGTGAGCAATAACAAAAATCCCTGTCCCAAAGGAACTGTGGCTTCAAGGAAATCAGGTACACATAAAGACATGAGTAGAAAACAATTATGAAGGCGCTGGCTAGTTAGCTCAGTTGGTTAGAGCATGGTGTTAACATGGTTAGAGCATGGTGTTATAACACCAAGGTCAAGGGTCCAGCCAGCCACCAAAAAAAGAAAAGGAAACAATTATGAAGCGTGGAGGGCCCATGCAAATTACTCTTGGTATCCCAGAGTGCCTTAGTCCATTTTCTGTCACTTATAATGGAATATCTGAAACTTGGTAATTTATAAAGAAATGAAATTTATTTCTTATCGTTCTGGAGGCTGGGAAGTCCAAGGTCAAGGGGGCACATCTGATAAGGGTCTTCTTACTGGTGGGAACTCTCTGCAGAGTCCTGAGGCAGCATGGAACATCACATGGTGAGAGGGCAGGAACAAGCTAACTACTCACCCAGGTCTCCCTTTCTCCCATCATAAAGCCACCAGCTCTACTCCCGTGATAACCCACTAATCCATTAATCCGTGAACGGAATAATCCCTCATGAGCCAGTTACTTCCTAAAGGCCCTACCTCACAACACTGCCACATTGGGGATTAAGACTCAACGTGAGATTTGGAGGGGACATTCAAACCACAGCACAAAGTGCCTAAGAGGAACGTGTGCTGAAGTAGGGGCTGGGGTGGAATGGGCTGTGGAAAGGCTTCATCAAAGGAGGTGGATTTAAAGTCAGCATCAAAAAGGGGGTCCAAGGTGGGACCCCAATGGTGGGAGCCCAAAGGGGCATAAAGTATAGCTTGTCAGAGGATTGTGGAGTCAAGAGAGACTGAGCGGGTGAAAGTGAGGGCAGTTAGTGGCTGCTAGGATGAGGGATTTACATTTGACCCAAAGGAATTACAATAGAGAGTCAATAATGTAGGTTATAGACTTAACAGAGTATTTCTTTTTCTCTCTTTCCCTCTTACACAGAGCCATCACTTAACATTATTGAGAGAGCTCTGGAGGCCGCAGTATTTTACAGCTTGTCAGTTAAGGCTCATTCGTCAGGAGCCCGATGTTTTACACTTAGCCTGTAGTCTCCTTCCCTCCTTATCAGTGGCCTGTTGGAGGTGACCAGACTGCAGTAGACGCCACTTCTGCTTCCCTTTGGAAGCCTTTAGCAGTCCCAGCCCTTACTCCTCTGTTTCTCTCCCCACAGATAGACTTCACTGCTGACCAGATTGAAGGTGAGTACGAACAACCCCACCTCCCCTTCACTGTTACACTTGCCAGGGGGAAGAGGAGAAGGAATTGTCATCATGGTGATAGTAATCATTATCATCATCAACATTGCAGACCTA